AGTGCTGCTAATCCTGACGCTGGTCTTGCAGAAGTGTTCCGCCGATGCCTTAACCTGGTTCACGCGCGCCAAGTACCACATGGCCTACTCAGGGAGTCGCTGGGCAGTGACCGTGGTGGTGGTGATGAATATAAACAATTCTGGGTAAATCATAACGCTTCACTGAAGACCTCAGAGGAATGATGGTTAATTATAGTAACGACATAATATTGAATAGGGACATCCTCCGCAAATGGCTTTATTTCAGGAGGCCTGTTGACCCCAGTGAATGACGAGACTATAGTTATTTTATCCCAAGGCTAAATGCCAGCGCGTGACCTTACTTCAGGTTTGTGAAACATTATAATCATAACATGTTTTATTTTTCCACATATTTTGAATAATAATCCCAACTGACTGATATTTTTCAGAGGGGTTGAAACCACCAACCAGATAATCTACCCAGAAGATTGGAGTTTTGGAGTTCGATGTGACTGATTTGAAGTCCATCAACCTTGAAGTCCATCAACGTTGATGCACATGCTGTTGACCCCTGCACCCCACCTGTATCTCAGTTAGCAACTATATTTCACTCACGTTATTATTTGAAAATCAGTTCACAGCTGGATCGTGCAGATTGAAAGGAAATTTGGCCATCACAGGCCTTCGCAGTCATTAGATTGCACACATGGTCAGTTTTTGAAATCCTTTTCCAGTTCCGGATGACTGTGTATAGAGTCAGATTTTTCTGAGGCTGTAGGATCGCGTATGTCTTGAGTTTAGGTTTCGCCAAAAAGTAGATGCCAAACACATCACGCGGTGATGACGCTTTTGGCCGAGGTAATGTGACCCTGGTCAGTGAAGTTCTAAAGTTTCCCATCCTCATGGTAGCCGTTGTGATCTTCAATTCTCGTCAGGAGACTTGGAAAATGTTCGATAGTTGGCGTAAGAATGGCGTGGTTTGATGGTTTGGACCTACATCTATAATATATATATATATATGAGCGGCTATAGGTGCTATATGGGGTGTGTAATTATATATAGGTATATGCAAATACCAGCGTCGTGGGGTAGATGCCATTGTGTGTTGGTCGCAACGAGGCTTTAGTCGGTCAAAAAAACGAACATATCTTGAAACACGAGCTTTGAGATCTTGCAGGTTTGCATCCAAAAATTATGCCCCATTTGTTCACGTCACTCGACCACTCAGTGGTCACAATTGCCCGCCAGATATTTTTCCATTTGGAGAAACCACGTTCCTGTTTCAGGGCAATTGTTTCACATATTGACATATTGTTTGTTTTCTATGTAAAGCATAGATAGTGGAATGCAGGGAGGTGTCACATACATACATACATACATACATACATACATACATACATACATACATTGCGTTACATTACGTTACATTACGTTACATTACGTTACATTACGTTACATTGCAAAACATGACATAACATTACATTACACTACGTTACGTTACATTGCAAAACATGACATAACATTACATAACATTACGTTACATTACGTTACGTTACATTATGTTACATTCGTTACATTACTTCACATTACATTACTTTACATTACGTTACATTACGTTATTTTACCTTACATTATGTTACAATACGTTACATTACCTTACACTGCAAAACATTACATAACATTACATAACATTGCAAAACATTGCAAAACATTATAGACATCACATTTCATCAAAATACGTAACATTACATAACATCACATAACATTACATAACATTACATAACATTACACAACATTACATAATGCACATAACATTACATAACATTACATACCATTACATATCATTACATTACAATACATAACATTACATTTCATTACATAACAATGCACAACATTAAAAAAACATTACATTACATTACATACAATACCATACATTCATACATTCATGCATTCATACGTTCATACATTCATACATTCATACATTTATACATTCATTGATTCATACATACATACTATACATACCATACATACCATACCTACCTACCTACATACATACATACATGCATCCATCCATCCATACATCCATACATCCATACACCCATGCATACCATGCATACCATGCATACCATGCATATTTTGCATACCATGCACAACATGCACACCATGCACACCATGCACACCATGAACACCATGCACACCATGCACACCATGCACACAGTGCACGCCATGCACACCATGCACACCATGCACACCATGCACACCATGCACACCATGCACACCATCCACACATAACATAACATAGCATAACATAACTTTAACATATCATAACATACCATAACATACATGCCGTACATACCGTACATACCATGCATACCATAGGTACCATACATACCATACCATACATACCATACATACCATACATACCATACATACCATACATACCATAGACACCATATATGTATATATATCCATACCATACATACCATGCATGCCATACATACCATACATACCATAGATACCATACATAGCATACATACCATAGATACCATACATAGCATACATAGAATACGTAGCATACATAGCATACATAGCACACATAGCATACATACCTTACGTACCATACATACATACATACATACATACATACATACATACATACATACATACATACATCATACATATGTATATATATCCATACCATACATACCATGCATGCCATACATACCATACATACCATAGATACCATACATAGCATACATACCATAGATACCATACATAGCCATACATACCATACATACCATACATACCATACATACCATACACATCATACATCATACATACGTACGTACATACCTACCTACCTACATACATACATACATACCTACATAGCTACATACCTACATTCATACATTCATACATACATATTTATATACAATAGATTGTGTAATGTGTTTTTTATGAACACATTTGTTTTTACAATACATTCATAGATGTACTATATATAACCATTCATCTATCCATTTGTTTGGTTTGTTTGTTTGTTTGTCTGTCTATCTACTGTATTTATCTATCTATCTAATCTAGTCTAATCTATATCTAATCTAATCTCTATCTAATATCTATCTATTACTAATATATATCTAATTTCTATCCGATTTCTATCTAATCTCTATCTAATTTCTATCTAATTTCTATCTAATCTCTATCTAATATCTATCTAATCTCTATCTAATTTCTATCCAATTTCTATCTACAGTAATCTCTAACTAATCTCTATGAAAATCTCTATCTATCTAATAGCAATTCAACGTGATCTTACCGTACCATGATTTGAGGTAACTTTTCATGTGTTTCAACCCTTGAAATGATTAAAATTGTCATTAAATTGGCAGTCAAAACAAGTTTACTATAGTTTACTAAGAACCCCATGGGCTGTTTAATTGTGGATATGTGGGGACCAGTTTAGAAGCAGCTGATACTTTTGGGGGGCCTATGGCCCTTCAATGAATTACCTCTGAGGACCTATGGCCGACCATTCGAGCAGCGTTGACGGAGTCCCCGTTCGCGATGTGGTGGGTTACTGGACGTCTTGATCAATGGATTGGTTCAAGGAAAATCTACTGGAAATAGATGGATTTTAATGATTTTTATCCCCCAAGTGTAGGAAGTTCCTGTGAATTGTCCTTTCATCCAATTCTAGGTCTTGATTTGTGGTTTGCTTTCAGGGTCCAATTCTGTTGCCATGGGACAACAGATGTGCGTGAACATGTGTGTTGTGAGGGTGCCATATGCTCAGCCTACCCATTTTTTGAGGTGTTTTACCCATATTTTTTGGGTTGGGCTGAATCACCCACCATAATCGAATATATTCCAGTTGGACATGGGTTGAGTCTATATGGATCATATATCGCGAATATTCCCCAATCAATCAGTGACCAGGTTGGACTGCTGTATGCCGTGCAAAATCTCCTGTACTTTGCGTGTTTGCAGTACACTTCTGCGGCCGCCTATCAAGTGATGAGCAGCTCGGAATCGGTGATGTGACCATGCTGCGGTTCATTTCTTACCATGAAACAGACGTCCAGGAAGGGACTGTGATGGAAAAGGGTGCATATATTGTTTTAACATGTTTTAAATGGGCACTCACTGCTCACATTTCAGTATATAGATGTATAAAATTGTAAAAGACAAAGCTTAGAAGTGGAGAATTGATATAAGAATGGTGCAGGATTGCCACTGTGTAGGCCAATAGATTCCTGGGCTATTCACAGCTATTCTCTCCGTGAGAACTCCCTTTTTCAGGGGCTCATGGGACTTCATAGCCTCTAATCCAGCCGTCACTTGACAAGTGAGCAGCTGCCTGGGCCCTTGAAATTGGATCAGTTTGCTTGTCCGCGACCCGCGCTTTGGCAAAGTGAAGCTGAAAATTACAATCCGTGTCAATTCTGAATTGATGCATTCAATCTGGATTGCATGGACTTTACCCAAGTGATGTTTTTCGACTTCTGTTTTGTATCATGTTACGCTGCAAGATGTACAGTGATGGGCCCCGTGGCCCAAAGAACAATGGGCAAAACCCCAATTACAACGGCGGCCCAGAATTGTTGACAGCTTGTGCCCAGAGATTTCCAAAGCCCAGTGACTAGCCTTGTCGCCCGGCAAACACATTTACTCGGAAGGGCATCGAGTTGCACACATGCGGCTGGTGGTTTCAAGATTTTTCCAATATATATGTTGTCATACAGTGATACTGTCTTGAAATTCATGGCTGTGTTTAAGGTGATCCCTTTTCTTTTCCAATAGGAAATTAGGAAATACACCCACCGTTTGGAGAATCCAAAGGGGATACTTTGTAATTTTGTTTGCGGGGCACCTTAAGCACATCCAAGTTTTGCATTTTATGGCACAATGATTACCCCAAGCTGCCATGTTTTTTTGTTTTTTTTTCATGGTGGACTTCCCATTCTGTCCATATAAATTGGTTGGTCAAGAATCCCTTCACCCTGATATTATTCAACATGCCCCCAGAAATCATGTGTTTGATTTTTTTGGTTGATAAAACCGCAAAATTGGGACCAACCAAAATTGGGCTGTGTTCATCAGAGGTCAAACCAAGATGATCTTCACAGCTGCTTTCATGTGGCAGATGTTGGGCAAGAAGTTCTCGCAAAATCAGATCCTTGCCCTGGCGATGTTGATCCTAGGCCTGGCTGCGGTAGAACATGGTGATTTCACCGTGGAACATGGATGATTCGATTCGATGATCATGGATGAGCAATTTATCTGTGTAAATTATAACGACCTCCCGTCGCGACCGAACCTGGAAATCATGGTTGTTTATAGGGGAATCATCCCCAAATGGCCTTAATTCAGGTTAGTGAATTTTTATAATTTACCCAGATTTATGAACATTTGGTGAGTCAATGAGTCAATGGATGAACATGGACATATACCAACTATAAATCCAACGATATATCCAACGATATATATCCAGCTATGTGGATGAACGACTCCATTGCAGGGTGAGTGCCAGGTGAGAATGACATGGAAAGTTCGTCCCCGTCATGTTGGGGAAACTGGCGCCTGATTTCTTACGACAGGGCCCATCTTGGGAACATCCTGTATGCGCGTGTATTAATACATATATAGTGTGTATATATATATATGCTGTATATAAATAAATAAATAACTAAATATTTATATATATATATGATATATGTATGTATAGAGACATAGGCCTGCACATGTTCATGTTCATTCCAAGCTCTGATTCCGTGTCATTTACCTTGAGGATTCGGAAAATGCTTTTGGAGTCTAGATCTTGCAGGAAACCGTTTGGCATTTGGAGGCTGAAAACATGATTTCCTTTGGGTCCTAGCAGCCGAAGCCAAAGATCATACTGCCAGGGACCGTCTTCACTCAACTCGCTGAAATCCAGGGACCGATGACAGTGAGATCTAGACCATGGATCCTTGGTATTGAAGTAGTTGGATCGGGTGGATCCATGATTTTGGTATTATTGGCATGTTATGATTTTGGGAACAGCTATCGATCTGTCAGTTGTAGGACTTGTATCTGGCAATTTTGAGTGATGAGAGACTTAACATCTTTTTTTTCCTGACAGGGTATCGAAGATTAGAAGATTCACCACGCACAGCATTAAAATGTATTTGGCTCAGTTCACACACCCTTTACGTTTTACGTATGGCTTATGAAAGGAATTATCCCCGCCAACAAAAATGCACTTGATACAAAGTCAGGTACATACCGTGGTATGTTTATTTGTTCTATGATTGAGAATAGATTTACAATAGGACCAATGGATACCAATGCAACCAAGAAGCTCTTGAAGCGCCTTGTAGTTAATCTATCCAATTTGGGGCTTAACGCTATACCGCATGTCATGTCAAAGGTGGATTCTACAACCAAGCTAGTGTTTTTGAGAACTATTGAGTGCTCTCTCTCTCTCTCTATAATGTATATAGATGATACAATATTTTTGTAATATATATTTATGGGTGGCTGAAGTATGTAGAAGCAGTACGGTATTGTTTTGTTATTTTTGTGACACGTCATTGGCTTGAAATGTACAATCCAAGTGTTCAATGAAAATTGAATGTATACCTGCATCACCCCAGTCGCAAAGCTATTTTGGGCCGAACACATTTATGATTTGCTCACCGTCTTTGGGATAGTTGTGACTACTCAGGCCATCCACCAGCCTTTCTTATCCACATTTGGGGTATTAGGGAAGAAGTGCGCTAGCGGAAATTCAAGACATTTCAAGGGTCCAAATGAAGCCAAAAATAAAAAGCATATGGAGTATACCCTTTGGAAAACTCACAGTTCGCCATGGAAAATCACCATCTTTAATAAGTAAATCAACTATAAATGGGCCATTACCAGAGTATAAGTACATATTATCATATTGTTGCAATCCCTTGGCTTGAACATAAAGTTATCAGGCTTCAGTGATGTTCACGCCAGCCTGACCTCTTCACCTCTTCGAATCACAGGTGCAAGTTCTACAGGTTGAGTTCAAGGGCAACCCTCATCTATCATCATCTACCCTTTTCCTTCGTATTTTGAATGATTTTTTTCCGAATGACCCAAACGAAAACATGGGGCACGCGGCATGGATCCGGTTCCGAGTTCTCTCGAGGTTCGGGGCTTCCCTGGCGGTACTCAGTGCACTTCTGAGCGCTTTGCCCAATGTCTTCTATGAGCGACTGTTGAAGGCTCTGTTTTGACGGGCTGCATAAAGACATGTATTTTTTTCCTGTTTTTCTATGTGTTTCTTGGGTCTGAGGCATCTTCAATGGGGTCAAAGTAATTAAAATTTACAGATTGTCCAAGGTTTACAGTTGTTTTTTATTATTATTATTCTTTAATATCATTACGTATATGCACACACATACATAAGACACACACACACACATATATATATATATATTTATATATACATACATAAAACTAGTAATTAAATGATGGTTGTTTGATGGATGATAGTATATAATTATTGTTCATCGTTCATGATGT